TCGTCCCCAAGCCTATAGCGCTGCATGGGGTTGTTGCAGCCAAAGTGCAGGACCCAGCACTTGGCCTTGTTGAACCTCATTCCATTCACTGTGTCAGCCCAGCGATCCAGCTTATCTAAGTCCCTCTGAAGGGCCTCCCTACCCTCAGGCATATCAACACCACCTCCCAACTTGGAGTCATCTGCAAACTTACTGAGGGTACACTCAATCCCCTCGTCTAGGTCATCAATAAAGATATTAAACAAGATAGGCCCCAGTACTGACCCCTGGGGGACACCATTGAAACAGGTCGCCAGCTGGACTTCGCTCCATTAACCACCACCCGTTGAGCACGGCCCTCCAGCCACTTTCTTACCCAAAGGAGTGTGTACCTGTCCAGGCCATGGGCAGCCAGTTTCCCCAAGAGAAGCCTGTGAGAGACCATGTCAAAGGCTTTGCTGAAGTCTAGGTAGACTACATCAACAGCCTTTCCCTCATCTACCAGTCTGGTCACCCAGTCACAGAAGGAGGTAATATATCATAATCAAGCTATAGAGGTACAAAATTTTATGCTGTATGATGATACTCACTGTACTGTTGTCTTCAGCTGTTGCTGTGTACAAATCAGATAATTTCTGAGAACTGTTCTGATGTCTCTAGGGTCTCTTTTCCAGAGGTGTAAATATTACACTCCCTAAAGCTGTATGGCATAACATTCTGTGGTTCCGTGGTTAAATCTTCTGATTCAATTTTTATATTTTAGCTTTGATGGATGTCATAGAATGATAGGACGGTTTGGGTTGAAAGGGACCTTTAAGTGTAGTTCATGTAGTTCCAACCCCCTGCTATAGGCAGGGACACCTCCCTCTAAACCAGGTTGCTCACAGCCCCATCCAACTTGACCTTGAATGCCTCCAGGGAGAGGGCATCCACAGCGTCTGTGGGCAACTTGTTCCAGTGTCTCACCACCCTCACAATAAAGAATTTCTTCCTACTAGTTAATCTGAATCTGCCTTCTTCCAGTTGAAATTCATTTCCCCTCATGCTGTTGTTACATACCCTTCTATAAAGTCCCTCCCCAGCTTTCCCGTAGGTACAGGAAGGCTGCTACAAGGTCTCCTTAGAGCCTTCTCTTTTCCAGGCTGAAGAGTCCCAACTCCAGGCTGAAGAGCCCTAACTCTCTCAGCCTCTCCTTGTACGGGAGGTGCTCTGAACCTCTGATCATCTTTGTGGCCCTTGATAAACTTCAGATTTCCTGCTTGATATTTTTGGTACGCTATATTTTTGTCTGTGCTGTAACTGTAGATTTCATGTGCATTTTGAAGCAGAAAAGGCAGAGAAAAAATGGATGAAGATAACTCCAGTTTCAGGGCTGCAAAATGACCAAGGTCCACCAAAACTGGGTGGAATGATTTCCGTGACTGGAGTATGGCTATCAACTGCTACAAGCTGATGAGAAAGCATTGGCAAAGAAAGAGGGTAGGGGGTGTTGTAATCTACATTGGGAAAGGAATACAATGTGAAGAGCTGTCTCTAAAGAACACTCATGAGCAAATCGAAAAAGTACAGGTGACAGAGACTGAGGCAGCAAAGGAATCCTTGTGATCGGTGTCTCCTACAGGCCACCAGACCAGGCAGAGACTGTTGATGAGACCTTCTACCTCCAGCTACAGGAGGCACCCTGATCGCAATGGCTTGTCCTGCTGGGGGACTTCAACCACTCAGACATCAGCTGGAAAAGTAGCACGGAGAGCTGTAGGCAATCCAGGAGGGTCCTGGAATGCACTGAGGATAACTTCCTGAGCCAGGTAATTGACGGTCCCACCAGGGACCGCTGCTGCTTGCCTATGCAAATGGACTGATTGGTGACATCAGGATTGTAAGCTGCCTGGACTGTAGTGACCATGCTATGGTTGAGTTCATGCTCCGGAGGGATATGAAACAGGCAAAAGGTAAAATCAGGATGCTAAATTTTAGGAAAGTGAAATCAGTCCTAAACTGTCCTCATGGATAAGGGTGCAGAGCAGAGCTGGCAGACCTTTAAAGTTTTCCTCACAGCACAAGAGCTCTCCATTCCCAAGTATACCAAGTCAGATAAGGAAGGAAAGAGACTGGCGTGACTGAACTAAGAGCTGCTGGTCAATGAGCAAGAAGAAACTGCATTGGCAGTGGAAACAGGGACAGGTATCCTGGGAAGAGTATAAGGAAGCTGCTAGGCTGTGTAAGGATGAGGTCAGGAAAGCCAAAGCCAACTTTGAACTGAACTTGGCTAGGGATGCCAAAAAGAACAAGAAGGGCTTCTGCAGGTCCCTCAACCAGAAAACGAAAGTGCAGGAGGGCATACCCCCCATGAGTGACACAGGCAAGCTGGTAACAACAGACAAGGAGAAGGCTGAGGTGCTTAACTTTTTGCCTTGATCTTCTCTGATACCTGCTCATCTCATAGCTCTCAAAGATTTGGTTTGGTAGGAGGGGATTGGAGAATCAACATCCTTTCCACTGTAAGTGAAGATCAGGTTTGTGAGCACCTGAGGAACCTAAGTATCCACAAGTCTATATGTTCTGATCAGATGCATCCCAGCATCCTCAAGCCACTCTCAGTGAAACTTGAAAAGTTGTTGCAGTTAGGTGAAGTCCTGGTGACTGGAAAAAAAAAAAGACGATAACATACCCATAAACAACACACATAAAGGTTTCAAAGGATGATCCTGGGAACTGCTGTGCCAGGAAAGATCGTGGAACAGATCCTTCTGGAAGCTATACTAAGGCACATGAAAGAGACAAAGGTGATATGGGACAATCAGCATGGCTTCAACAAGGGCAGATCCTGTCTGATCAACATGTTTTTTATGGTAGTTCATATAACTGTGTCAGTGGACTAGGGAAGAGCCTCTGATGTCATCTGTCTGGACTTCAGTAAGGCCTTCAGCACAATCCCCCATAACATCCTTCTCTTCAAAATGTTAAGATACGAATTTAATGGGTAGACTGTTCAGTGGACAAGGAACTGTTTGTGAGATCATACCCATGTCCGAGCTCAGTGGGAGACAAACACACGACCACAGAATTGATCAGAAAGTCTCAACTTTAATCAGAAGGTTGCGTGCATTTATATTGGCGCTAATGAAGCTCATACATATTGCAAAGCTCGAGCTCCTGATAGGCTCTTCAGCTACTTGTTGCCCCAGCCCTTCTTTGTACTTTTTGTGATTAGGCCATGCCATTCATCTTTCTTATTTCTACATTCTCCTACCTTCCTACACATCCAGTTATTTTACTCAAGCGCTCTCTCCTTCTTAGCCTTGTTTACATCCTGTTACATTGCTCAAGGACTCTCGTCTCATTCGCTGAATACTGTCTGTGTGACCTTTCTCAGCCAGCCAGGTCTCAATCACGCTCTCCACATACCCAGAGAGTGGAGGCCAATGACTCAGTATGTGGATGGAGACCTGTGACTAGTGACATCCCTCAGGGACTTGGATCTATGCTCTTCAACATCTTTATCAGTAATATTGACAGTGGGAGCGAGTGAACTCTCAGCAAGTTAGCAGATGGCATCAAGTTGTATGGTTGACATGCCCGAGGGATGGGATGTGATCCGGAGAGACCTAGACAAACCCGAGCAATGGGACCAGGAGAACCTTACAAGGTTCAATAAATGCTAGTGCATGATTAGCACCTAAATGATGGCAACCGCTGATATCACTAAAAGCTGGAGGACAGCCTTCTGAAAAGGACTTGAGGGTTCTGGTGGATGACAAGCTGGTTATGAACCAGCAGCGTGCCCTTGCAGCACAGAAAGCCAACTGTATCCTGGGCTGCATCAAAGGAAGTGTGGCCAGCAGGTTGAGGAAGGTGACCCGCCCCCTAGTCTGCGCTGCTGAGACCTGGCCTCGAATCCTGTGTTCAGTTGCAGAGTCCTCCGTAGAGGAGATATGTAGAACTGTTGGAGTGTGTCCAGAGGAGGGCCACAGAAATGATCTGTGGGATGGAACACTTCACCTATGTGGACAGGGTGAGACAGCTTGGGCTCTTCAGCCTGGAAAAGACTCCACGGTGACCTGATAGCAACTTTTCAGTATCTACAGGTGGCTGTAAGAAAGAAGGCAAGAGATTCTTTAGCAGAGTTAGTTGTGATGGCACAAAGGGAAATTATTTCAAACCAAGACAGGGGAGATTTAGATCTGATATAAGAAAGTATGTTTTTACAATAAAGTGCTGAGGCATTGGAGCACGTTTCCCAAAGAGGTGGTGGAAGCTCTGTCCTTGGAGACGTTCAAGGTCAGACTGGACAGGGCTCTGAACAACCTGACGTAGCTGTAGGTGTCCCCTTTTCCTTGCAGAGGAGTTGGACTAGATGACCTTTAAGGGTCCTTTCTAACTGAAAAGATTCTATGATTCTGTATGTGGATAGCTTGTGAGTGTCTTCCAAGGCTTTCTCTGCGATCTTCAGGCTTTAAGTAATAACAGCTACGTGGATTAAGTCTTCTTCAGCAGTATAAAGCTCAACAGCAGATGTTGATCCCTTTTACATTTCAAAGGAAAATGTTCTGTGATTCACAGAAAATGTATGATTAAAAATGATATGAGAAACCATCTGTCATTATGAACCATAATGAACATGTGTGCAGATTTACTGAAAAGACACTGTGCATTCTTCTCCCAGAAAAAGGGGAAAATGTTTCCTTTGGTTCAGAAAAAAAAAAAAAGGAAAAGAGTATAAGTCAAGCAAAGACGAACCTACCTACTGAGGATGGGGGGAACGCTGGGGAAGAGCAAGCAGTAGCAGTATGGCAGTCATTGCCTTGTTGGACTCGTCAGGGCCACCAAGCAGTTTGTGGGCTTTCAAAAGTGGGAGCAAAGCACAGGGCCTGGGATTCAGTCCTTCCTGGTGAGAGGCAAAGGCTTTGTGCACAGGGCCAGGTCTCGGCGCTGGGGTGGGCCGGCCATGGCCCCGCTGTGCTGAGCTGGCAAGGTTGTGCCACACCCCACTGTCCCTGCATCACAAACATAGCCATAGCACCCAGCTGGTGACATGGCAACCCACATCACAAAGGGGACAACCCCAAGTTCTCGGCAGAACAAGGCTGGGTGCCACTTTGCCTGTGAGCTGACTGGAGAGAGGAGTTTGACCACTTGGCTCTCTCTGCGTGTCGCAGACATGGCTGATTTCTGGAGAATTAGCTTCTTCCTGAGTTTGGAAGAGGATGATATCTTCTACCCCATCCTCAGGATCATGCTGATCATTTCATTATTTGTATTCATTATGACCCTGGGGAAGTGGCAGGTAGGAGTCAGGGCTGGTGCTGAGCCAGGCACTGCAACACAGGGAGGGAGGTCGGTGGGGGCCAGGGCCATCCCCAGGGCTCGGCTGGGAGTCTTGGGGCAGGCACGGGCCTGGGCCTGGCTGTGCCCTGGATTGGTGGGTGCTGCTGAGGATGCTCCCCTCTCACTCACTGCTTTCTATGCCCATATAGGGTCGGAGGACAAGGAGGTACAACTGCAGAGACAATGCAGAGAATCACAGAGGTGAGCAGCATGGGCAAAGGCAGGTGCCCTGCAAAGACACCCCCTGGCCCTACGTGTCCATGGCTCCATCAGGAAGGATCTCTCCATCTGTTCACTCTCTGTCTCTTCTACCAACAGCTGCAGACCTCCACAGTGCTTCACAGTGCTCAAGGACAGAGTAAGTAGTTAACTCCCTGGAGCATGACAGCTCCCTCTGGTCACCTACCAAGAGAGGTCCCGCTAATGCTGCTCTCTGCCATTTCTGCAGCTGTTCCCTGATATCGGAGAGGGAAAATACACGTGAAAGACTCTGGAATCTGGAAAGGAGACTTAAGGAATTAAACAGTTACTTGGAAATGTGAGTCCACAGAAAGGAGGGTAGTGGAGATGGGCTTGGGTTCGGGATGGAGATGGGGATAGGGCAGGGGGCACTGACAAGGGAAAATGATTGAGGGCAGGGCATGGCAAAATTCACAAACCTAAAGTGCAAGGGGCAATGCCGTTGCAGAAGCAATGGATTTACCACCCAGGCACAGCAGAGCCTGACAGTGCTGCCTACTCCTCCTGAGCTTCCAATCACAGCAGGCATGGCTGGACCTCAGGCACACACTGGGTTGGTCTCCAACTCAGTAACACAGCAGTCATGAGGTGCTCAGAAGTCCTTGATCAAAGCATGCTGTTATCCCCTTCTCCCACAGGTCAGTGATGGAGGTGTTAGAGGACACCAATGAGCCACTCACTTCTGATAAAGCAGTGGAAACCAGATCGTCACCGGAGATGTCTCTGTCCTCTCGGAGTGACAGCTCCCTCACTTCCATCGAGACAGCGGAAGAGTGGCACTCTTTCAACAAGGCACTGGGAGCCCACAGCCCCTCAAAGGCCTCCCTGTCCTCTAGGAGCGATAAATCCCTCACTCCCGTCGAGGCAGTGGGAGCTGGGTGCTCTTCAGGGGCCTCTCTGTCCTCCTGGAGCGACAGCTCCCTTGCTGCCATTGTGGCAACAGAACCTGACTGCTCTTTGATGGCCCCTCTGCCCCCTTCCAGGAAAAGCTCCTGCACTTCTGCCAAAGCAGATGAAAGCAGCTGCATTTCACAGCTGACCCTCAGCACTCCTCTGCACGGAGCAGATTTGGGTCATGCTGCCATGGCCCAGCCTGACCTCATGCTTTCTGATGCTCTTGAGCCTCAGGAAGTCCAGGAGACCTTGGACTGTGTTGTCCCAGAAGGGAAACCAGAGGAGGAAACGGGCCTGGCAATACATGGAGAAGGGACTTTGCAGGAAAAGTCTGCTCCTCAGATGCCTCAGCAACCATCAGAGCCCCATGTGGAGGTGGAGCCCAGGGTGTGTAAGCCGCTCTTCCTGGATGAGGCTGTGAAAAGCCAGCTGGAGCGGCACATGATAAAAATACAGATACAGCGATGCTTTGGGCTACCAGAGAGGGTTCTGGCCTCCTACAAGAAGTTCTCAGAGACCATCCAGGAGCTACAAGACTGCCATCCTTCTCCACAGAGGCACACTGCACTGCCCTACCACTCGCCTTTCCATCACTGGGACAGGCACGTTCGCACCAGGAGGAGAGCAGTGCGGCCCCGTGAGCCACAGCAAGAGTCTACAGCCCGTGTGAAAACAAGCACACGAGGAACACAGACATCTGTCCACTCTGTGCCAGCAGCTTTTGTGATAGTGGCAGAAGAGGTGCCTCGTGAAGATCTGGAGGGACCCCAGCTGAAGAGGATACGTAGGGGTACAGCTAGAAGCAGCAGCTCAGCCAGAAAGAAGACCCAGCCTGGCAGCTGCACAAAGGAGCCGGGCCCTGTGACACAAGGGGGTGATCCCGGTCCCTCCTTTTCCATCCAGGAAGAGCAGACAGTGCCACAGAGCAAGGGAGCTCCTCAGGAGAAGGGAGGGCAGGACAATGAGAACGCCACCGTGCCCAGCGGGGGAAGCACGGGGATCCAGGAGCTGTCACAAGGCAGGACAGCTCCTTCAGGAAATAAGTCCCCACAAATTGAAGAGCCTTTGAGTAAGGACACTCCCATAACTGTGTCACCACCTCCAAACCCTGCAGAGACCAGCCGGGAAGAAACACCCAGCCTGGAAGACACGTTCAGAGCACTCATAAACTTCTACAGGGTCAGCACGATGATTGAAAACCAGCAGAACCAGCTGCTGGCTTCCTGGCTGGAGCAGTCCCAGGACAACGTGGAGAACTCAAGGTCAGAGCCAGCAGCAGAGAGTCCCGTTCCCACACTGTGCGGAGCACAGGACAAAATGCAGAAGGATAAGGGACTCAGGCAGGATGGAGTAAGGTCCAGGAAGTTCTGCCCCAAGTGCGGCAAAGCAGCCAGGGCGCCTGGGAGTGAAGGCAGCTGGACTTCAGCTCCAGTTGCAACTGCAGCACCAGGCACAGGAGGAGACGAGGCAGTGGGAAAGAAGCCTCTATCTGGAGAAGGGGCCAAAAGGGAGCAAGGCCAGAATCAAACTGCTGATGCTGCCCAGCAGCCAGAGGGGGCCCGTGTCTTCCACTACGTGGTATCGATCACAGCAGTCAAGCACAGGACCCCGCTGTCACAAACACAGTGGCTGCCCAAGTGTGAATCAGCCACAGACTGGAGCCCAACACCAGAGAAACCAGCTTTGCCATGCTGCTGCTATGGTTGTTTCACTTCCGTCATCTTCTGCCTGCAGAGGGCATGGGCCAAGCTCCTAAGTGCAGGGAAAGCCCTCTTTTCCAAGATAAGGAAGAAGTGAAGTGAGGAGCCCCAAGAAAGAGGACCAACCACGGACAGCCCAGTCTCACCTTGGGATAAGACTCCTGGGGAAAGGCTGCAACCATCTCAGGAGGCAATAGGGAAGAACTTCATGGCACTTGGGGCTGAGACCTTCTTAACGGGAGCTACAGGTGACATCAAGACTTGGTGCCAGGCAAGCGTGGAGACAGCAAAGGACTGAATTACAGTGGGAGGAGTCCTAGGCACCTGGGGATGCCCGCTCCTGCTGATCATGGTGAGTCAGTCCATGTGCTGCTGCTACTTGGAAGTTCAAAGAGCAGCTACACCCTGTTTGACTCAGACCCAGCCCCAACCCAGTGTGACTTTCCTCTTCCCTTTGCTCATTTCCAAGGGTAGCACCAGCCTTTGAGGGACATGGACCCGACAAGCAGCAGATCCCCCTGCCAGGACCACCAAGGAACAACAGCTCTCCCAATAATAAATACATAAACATCACTTAAAATGTGCTCATTGATGTCTCTTCTTTCCTTCCAAGGACCACAATTGCCTGCTCACACCTCCTAGCCAGGGCAAGGTGGGCAGCTCTGCTGGTGCCTTTTGGAGGAGAGAAAAAAGAGGACTAGGTTGGCCCTCCAGGTGCTTGAGAGCAGGGATGTGGGGCCTGCCTTCCACATGAGGCTTTTAGAGGCAGCCAGAACTGCCCAGCTTGCTGGGAGTATGTTCTCCAGAACCCCTGCCTCTCCCTGTCAAGGGCGGTAAGGGTTGTGTCAAAGTGGTAACCTGAGGGCCCTGGGACTGTGGCAGGATCCCAGTCCTGAGCCCTGGGGCTCCTGAGGAGCTCTACCTGCCAAATTACATCCTAGGATGAGAAGAAGGGGTCAAGGAGGTGGAGATGAACAGAATCCCTAAGTAGGCAAGGCAGCGATGGCCCTTGCAGTTCTTACTCTTTTTCAGTACTCACAGAATGGCCTGGGTTGAAAAGGACCACAGTGATTATCCAGTTTCAACCCCCTGCTGTGTGCAGGTCACCAACCACCAGACCAGGCTGCCCAGAGCCACATCCAGCCTGGCCTTGAATGCCTCCAGGAATGGGGCATCCACAACCTGTTTTGGCAACCGGTTCCAGTGTGCCACCATCCTCTGTGTGAAAAACTTCCTCATAAGGTCTAACCAAAACCTCCCCTGTCTCAGTTTAAAACCATTCCCCCTTGTCCTATCAGTATTCTATCAGCGGTCATACCCCCTCCTGTTTATATGCATCCTTCAAGTACTGGAAGGCCACAATGAGGTCTCCCCAGAGCCTTCTCTTCTGCAACCTAAACAGCCCCAGTTTTCTCAACTTTTCCCCATAGGAGAGGTGCTCCGGCCCTCTGATCATCTCAGTGGCCCTCCTCTCGACACACTCCAGGAGCTCCACATCCTTCCCGTACTTGGGGCCCCAGGCCTGGACGCAGTACTGCAGATGGGGCCTCATAAGAACTGAGTAGAGGTGGACAATCACCTCCCTCTCCCTGCTGGCCACCCCTTTTTTAATGCAGCCCAGAACACAGTTGGCCTTCTGAGCTGCAAGCGCACATTGCTGGCTCATGTCCACCTTCTCGTCCACCATGACCCCCACGTCTTTTTCCGCAGGGAGATCTCAAGGAGATCTTCCCCCATTTGTCTAAATACCTGGGATTTCCTCGACGTAAGTGCAGACCCTGCACTTGGCCTTGTTGGACCTCATAAGGTTTTCAAGGGTCCACTTCTCCAGGCTGTGCTGGTCCCTCTGGGTGGCTTCCCTTCCTTCCAATGTATTGAGTGCACCGCTCAGCTTGGTGTCATCTGCAAACTTGCTGAGTGTGCACTCAATGCCATCATCTATGTCACTGATGAAGATGTTGAAGAGCACCGGTCCCAAGACCGACGCCTAAGGGACACCGCTTGTGACCGGCCTCCACCCTGACACAGACCCATTGATCATAACCTTTTGGCCGCACCAGTTACCAGGAACTTCGGTGGACAGCCATGATTTTTCAAATATGATGGAGAGCAGCTTGGCAACCACATCAGCTTCTCTCTCAGAATCCCAAGATAGGTATCATCCAGTTCATCCATGGACTTGTATACATTCAATTGCATGAGGTGTCGGACATGTTCCACTGTGACAGTGGGACGGATTCTGCTCCCCTAATCCTTATCTAGAGGTTCAGGGTCCTTGATGATATGGGAAGCCTGACCACCAGTGAAGACTGAGGCAAAGCATTCATTGAGTACCTCAGCCTTTTCTATGTCTGAGGAAGCCGGCTCTCCATTACCTTTTCTCAGAGAAGGAACACGCTCCTTGGCCTGCGTGCTCTTGCCTATGTACCTGTAGAGTCCCTTCTTGTTATCTTTCAGTTCCCTCGCCAAGTTCAGCTCCATGCGTGTCTTAGCTTTCCTAATCCTCTCCACACTCCCAGACAGCAGCCCTGTACTCCGCCCAGGCTACACAACCCTGCTTCCACTTCCTGTACGTTTCCCTCTTTTCCCTCAGTTTAAGCTGCAGGTCCTTGCTCAGCCACGCTGTTCACCTACTTCCCATTCTCGACTTCTTCTGCTGGGGGATGGAGAGCCTTTGCATCCTCAGAAGGGAGTCCTTAAAGAACTGCCAGCTCTGTTCTGTGTCCATGCCCTTAAGGACAGATTCTCAGGGGATCCCATCCAGCTACTCCTTGAGCCGCCACAAGTTTGCTCTCCTGAAGCTCAGGGTCCTGACTCTGCTTTTTGCCAGGCATGCACACACTTCGAGATCACAACCCGCACCAGGGCACGGTCATTACAGCCAGCCTGCCTCCAGTCTTAACCTCTCTAATGATCTCTTCTGTGAAGTCCGTGGCTGCACCTGGGTGCGTGCAGAGAGCAGCGTCCAGTTAAGTGACCCGTTAAGTGTCAAGCGTCCTCATAAACGTGCAAGGCGCCGGCCCTGCCCTCTCAGCTCGCCCTGCCTGCACCCACCGCGGAGAATAACCGCCGTACTCGCCCTCTGGGCTCTGCGTTTCCCGCACAGGGAGGCGGTGCCGCCGACGCTCCTGGCTCCGTCCGCACGCGTCAGAGCCGCCGCGCTGCCAGGAGTGGGGGCAGGGGGGCTGCCTCGTTCTCCCTCAGGTCATTGCCCGCAAATCCCTGGGCCATGATGAGTTTCACCCGTGGGTGCTGAGGGAGCTGGCGGAAGTGACTGCCAGGCTGCTCTTGAGAATACTGGAAGGATCTTGGAGAATGGGAGATGTGCCTGAGGACTGGAGGATAGCCAGTGTCACTCCAGTCTTCAAAAAGGGCAAGAAGGAGGACCCGGGCAACAGCCGGACAGTCAGCTTCTCCTCTGTCCCCAGAAAGGTGATGGAGCAACTTGTTCTGGATGTGATCTCCAAGCAGTCGGAGGAAAAAATGTTATCAGGCGTAGTCAGCATAAATTTACCGAGAGAAAATCATGCTTTTCATGCTTAACAACCTGGTAGCCTTCTATGGTGTCATCACTGGCTGGGTAGACGAGGAGAGAGCAGTGGCTGCTGTGTACCCCGATGTCAGCAAGTCATTTGACACTGTCTCCCGTAGCATCCTTGTAAAGAAACTAAATGTGGGATAGTGAGCAGTGAGGTTGATTGAGAACCGGCTGACTGGTAGAGCTGCGAGGGTCGTGATTAAAGTTGTAGCTGTTGGGCAAAGCCCCCGGGGACTGGAGAAAAGGAAATGTCGGTTCCATGTACAAGAAATGGAGGAAGGAGGACCTGGGGAACTGCATGCCGGTGTCTGGGAAGATCATGGAAGAGGTCCTCATGGGAGACACGTTAAAGCACATGAGGCATGAGTGGGTGATCCGAAACAGCCAGCATGGCTTTACCGAGGGAAGGCTGTTCCTGTCCAATCTGGTGGCCTTCTGTGATGGATTGATGACACTGGTGGACAGAGGGAAGGTGATCAATGTCATCTACCGAGACTTGTGCAAGGCCTTTGACACGGTCCCCCACCGCATCTTTATCTTTAAATTGGAGAGATATGGATTTGTGGGGTGCGCTGTTCAGTGGATAAGGAATTAGTTGAAAGGCTGTATACAGAAGGGTGTGTTTAATGGCACTATGTTCAGGTGGAGGCCAGTGATGAGCGGCGTCCCCCAGCGGTCTGTTTTGGGACTGGTGCTTTTCAACATATTCTCTGTGTCATCGATGAATCGCCCAAGAGCACCCTCAGTAGGTTTGCTGATGAGACCAAGCTGAGTGGTGCGGTTGACACATTAAGAGGAAGGGATGCCATCCAAAGGGACCCTGACAAACCCAAAAGGTAGGCTCGTGTAGACCAAATGAGATTTAACTTGGCAAAGTGTAAGGATTTGCACTTGGTTCAGAGTAATCCCAGCTACATATACAGACTGCTAGAAGAACTCCCTGCAGAGAAGGACTTGGGGGTGGGTCCTGCTGATGAAAAACTGAACATGAGCCAGCAGTGTGCTCTTTCAGCTCAAAAGGCCAATGGTAACCTGGGCTCCATCAGAAGACGGATGGCCAGCAGGGACAGGGAGGTGATTGTCCCTCTCTGCTCTGCCCTCGTGAGGCCTCATCTGGAATACTGCATCCAGGTCTGTTGCCCCCAGTAGAGGAAAGATGGGGAGCTGTTGCAGGGGGTCCAGAGGATGGCCGGGAAGATGATCTGAGGTCTGGAGCACCTCCCCTGCAACTGAGGGAGCTGGGCTTGTTCAGACTGGAGAAGAGAAGGCTGCGAGGAGACCTCATTGCTGCCTTCCAGTACTTAAAACAGATGGCTGTGCTGCCGTTGAAGGAGACCTGGATAGGCTAGTGAGTTGGGTAGAGAGGAACCTCTGGCAGAATTAATTCTGGGGACATAAAAATTGCCAAGAGGTTTTCATTTCTGGAAAACATTTCATATGTATATTTTTGAGGTTTTAAATTCTCAGCCATAATGTCTTTCTAACAAAACTCCACCTGCTCTCTAGCCCTTTTTGAGCACGTATTTTATTTAATTTGCCTTATTTTCCTGTTTGACAGATTTGATGTTGTTGTTGTTTTCTCTCTGTAATTTCTTTAAGATACTGTTTGTGTTTCTTGTGTTCTCTTCAGCACAATAATTTCTGAAAGAATAGAGCAGACATGTCCAACCCATGATCTGTGGCCACTCCCTGCCCCATGCCATCATGGTGGCAGCTCTGTCTCAGGCTGGCCTTGGCCGTGCACCCATTGCTCACAACAACCAAATGATGGTGTGCGATCAGCACTGTCTGGGCTAAAACTGGGACACTGGGATGATGCAGTGCTGTGATAACTCAAGTGATGGCAAATGATTTTATGCATTTTGATACATTGGCTAAACAGAATTCTGTGAACACCACAAAATAGGCAGCTATGGTTTCCATTTTGATAAAGGAATTTGTGAACAGGTTTCAAGACTGCCAAAAGATCATCAATTTCCAACTTCATTTTCAACCCAAATACATTCCAGTTTTCAAATGAAATGCATAGCATTGCAATCAGACATTCAATTTAAATCTGATCGTATCTCTTTACTAGACTTCTATACGCCCTCTCTTACCAGGGAAACTTATTCCTCATTTCATAGTCACACTTCATTCATGTCGTCACTTCTTGGCAGTACATACATATGTGAGCAACTGTCCAGGATGAAGTATACTTGCATACCTTAACTATATTACATATTTTATGAGGGTTGTTCTGAAAGTAATGTTTTATTTGTGTTAAGAGAATGCTTGTGTAAATATTCTATAATTGTTTGTGAACACATTTGGCTGTGTTTTGTTGCCGTTGATTGTATGTTTGTTTGTTGCTATTTTATAATGTTATTCCTGGAGAAGCACGTTTCAGCGTGGCTCAGGTTTTAGTACACGTCTTTCCTTGTTCATCAGAATGTCAAAGTGTATTTCCTTTACTGACTTTTATAAAAGGGTATAAGGGGCTCAAGATCATGTCACACCTGAAGATAAAGCTGTGAGAGCTGCTGCAAATATAATGCCTCCTTCT